CACCCACCCAAGATACTAAACTGGAGGAGATGCTTGACAAGGTCCTTGAGAGTCAGCAGAAGCTCCAGACAGACTTCAATGGGAAGATCGACTCCGTCTACAACACCCTCCAAAAAGAGCTAAGTGGTTTACACACCCATATGAAGAAGTTGGAGACTCAGGTGTTCCAGACAGTAGAAGCCCAAAGGAAGCAGGAGCTTGCCAACAATAACATCAATGCCATCCTGGATGATGATTTTTGGCAAGGGGTAGTAGAAGAGATTCAGCAATCTGATGATGAGAGAGACTTCGTCCGCGACTACTATCGATCGATATCACCCCGCGATCATCGACCGATACATTCCCATGTACATCGATCGATAGACTTTGATGAGTGTCGATCGATGGACATAGAAGAATACCCGTACAAGTGCAATAACGTCCGGACGATGAATCACAAAGCCTTCGCAGCACGTCACCCACATCCGCCCGTCCCTGTCAAGATCGAACCGCAAGACATCGACCGACATGATTACCCTCCTATCGATCGACAGGAAGACCACACTATCGACCGACGCACTCCAGTCAGTGTCTCCCGATACACAGTACCCCACCGCCGAGTGCAACTCCCCAAGATAGATGGTGCACGTATTGACACATTCCGGGAGCGATATTACACTACTCGAATCCCTCAGAAAGCCATCTTGGAGAGACCCACGGATATCTTTGAGTCCATGGAGATAGAAAAGGAAACTACTGGAAGAGTTCTCAGAAAAAGGAAAGAGAAGATAGTGAAGCCTTATAAAAGGGAAGCTAATGAGAAAGAATTGTCAAGGAGTCGAAAATTTTTAAAAGAAAAATGTAAGTTTATTCAAATTTTTTTTAAATGTACACCAAAATTCAGACGAAAACCTGAGATCTATATAAATTGTGGTTGTGTTCAAACGTAAGGCTTTGCAGAACCCAAGTGGTGTCGCGTTAAAAATTATTTATATATATCACGCGTATCATGAAAATTCTACGATAATAAAAGACTGTCATCTTTTTAGGAAACGGCTGATAGGTCTTAGCTACGTACGTATATGAATAAGGGACGATTTGATGAATATTCATAAGAGAATCATCAATGAAAAATATAGCCATAGTCAATTTGATGTGACAATTAGGGACATTTCTGGACGTTTTACACTTCTGGACGTTTTCTCTTTTCACTCGCTTGTGCGTCATTAAGAGACGAGTAAATCATTTATGCCGTAACATTTATCTTACAATAACCAGCTAAATGAAAATGCGACGTGTCGTGTAAGACTATGAAAAAAAAGGAAACAAGATACTATAATGTATATGTTGTAGTATAGAAGTTGGAGAAACAGGTGACAACAGAAGTATAATTATATTGTGGGTTCGAAAGTTGATTCCAATAAAGGAAATGGGTGGCAAGAATTTTGTTGTTTACTATCGCTTATATATAATTCTATACTAAATCATGCAGCACAAAGTACCATATGATTATATACTATTCATAATATAGTATAGTATAGTCGAATTGAAACAAACAACATGTTTATTTGACTATGTTATGTACAAGAAGTAACCACATTGAGATTTATCGGTTGCAACAATGCGTTAGCTGCCACAATAAGAAATAAAATCTACAATTAGTGAAATTACGGTGGTCTGAAATGGTGATATCTAATATAAAAAACCGTATATAAACTATGTGACTATGTTATTTACAAGAAGTAACCACATTGAGATTTATCGGTTGCAACAATGCGTTAGCTGCCGCCATAAGAAATAAAATCTAAAATTAATGAAATTACGGTGGTCTGAAATGGTGAAATCTAATATAGAAAAACCGTATATAAACTAATTATTGTGTATGTCAGTAGCCATTTAAATTATATTAAAAATGTAATAGTATAATGATGAAAGTTTTTTGCTATGTCATAATACAAGCACACTTCTTTGTTGCATAAAATACATAGAGGAGGAGGATTTAGGAGGAAATTACGGTGGTCTGAAATGGTGAAATCTAATATAGATAAGCCGTATATAAACTAACTGTCGTATATGTCAGTTGCCATTTAAACTATATTAAAAATGTAATAGTATAGTAATGAAAGTTTTCTGCTATGTCACAATACAAGCACACTTCTTTGTTGCATGAAATACATAGAGGAGGAAGAGGAGAAGGAGGAAGAGGTGGTGGTGGTGGTGTTGATGGTAAAGAAAACTATACTATTTTTCCATATGTGTTTTACAAATTGTATAGATCTATCCATTTATACCAATATCATATTATTAAATGTGCTTGTTTTACTAACTGCACTAATCAATCCAAGCAAAACGAAAATACTCAATCCATGGAACACAATATCATATTATTAAATGTGCTTGTTTTACTAACTGCACTATACTATTTATGTTTCTCTTATAGTACAGAATAAATAATTTTCTCCCTCAACTAAGAACCCCGAAAATTTCCACATAAGAACCTAGAAAATTTTGTAGGAAAACACGAAGCAAACACATACACATACACATACACATACATGGCTATGTCACGATGCAAAATCAAAATAGAAAAAAAATTAGGTTAAGTTACAAAACTAAAGTTTAACTAAAAGTTTTAATCACATTACTTTTTCTGTCGCCCTGCCGATAACCTTCTACCAACCGGATCTGATTTAATAGTCCAAAATACCGAGGGTAGTGGTTCCAAAACTTATTCAATATCTCCCATCAAATAAAATCATCTTCGAATTACCCTAATTCCTTTCCTTGTGCTTTGCAATAGATCGTGCTGCCTAGAAAATAGAAGTTCCTCTTGATTCCGTTGCACAATCGTAAAAATAAAAACAATTCCAGTTTCTAGGTTAAAGATAAAAAGGCAGTTTTCAACCTTCTACGCGTAGATGAGTATATTGTTGGAATATTTCATAAATTATACAAAATATCATAGCCTATAAATTATTATGGTTATATGCTTAATTCTTTTTTTTTTATTATGTGCATTACACATAGTTTATCTATGCATAATGAATTTGAGATGAATACATTATAAATGTCCATAGATCATCCATCCATTTCACATATTATACAAATTTTTCTTTCTATTTATTTATTTATTTATTTTATTCATTTAAGTGTTTTTAGGGCTTACCCAACAAAATTGGACAGTCTTCTCAGCTCTAACAAAGTAACAATCCACCAACAATCAACAACAAAACACTAATTCAAGAATGAAACGTCATTTCTTTTGATAATCATTGTGTTAATTAATGTATGTGGCTTTTAATATCTTTGTATGTAGGTTTAGATTTTACAGATATCTTCTGATCAGTGATCATGCATGTCTGTATGACCTTGACAAAGATACGTACCGAATTTAAATTCATAAAATTTGTAATATGCATATTGTTCTAAAAGAAAGTCTAGATGAAAACTATTTTATCTCATTACAGGTTTGAAGGGCCAAAATGCTGATCAGATTAATGAACTGAACTAACGCATTAATTCAAGACATTAATATACATATGTACTGATCGGGCTTCAATTCGTTTAAGTATTGATACTTTAAAGACTCTTAACTAGTTGGTTTTAGGATTTTTATTATTTTAAATTATAAATACTAATATATTATGTCAAATCTATGTTAACGAAAGTTACTAAACTCAAGTTGAATCCAATCACAAAATAAACGTTAAACAAAATCATATATAAATAAGGGACAATTGCAATTTTACACATTCTTTAGTACACTAGTTCAGGTTTACATTGAAAGGGAAGACATTTTCATAAATACCTATATTACTAAACGGTTGATGACCTTATTGTCCTTTGAGTTATGTGAGATCTGATTTTCGTCAACAAGAAAAGAGAAAAGATATCGTTAACGACGAAATCGGATTCTCTCAAACGAGGGTGACTCCGGCGACGTGTTCAATCAACGACGGAAGATATTGACGGAGAATAATGTCGGCTCCTCAATCCATTTCCCTCGTCGATCTTCTTTCTTCTCGATTCTCATCCTCGCGTTTCACTGATTCGAGATTCGCCTATTTGATTTAGTCCACCATCGTTTTTTTTTTAAATCAGTTTGGGTTTCTGATTCTCCTATGCGTTTTAACATCTGCAACTATTGCTTAATCCTTGAATCTGACAGAAACAATTGAGTCTGAGATTGTTTCGGTTTTGAGCAAATTCTTTGCCTGAGAGAGAAAAAGACAGTTGTTGGTACAAAAGGTAATTCGATTTTTTTTCCTAAGTTTAAGTTTGCGTAAATCTTTGTTTGAGTTCAATCTATATGATCTTATCAGTGTAGAAATTGAGAAGCTGTTACATTGAGTGGAAATGGTGGGGCCAAATATGTTGTTTCATCGAAGGAAGCATTCATGGCCTCCTGAGGAATTCATTACCAAAACTAGTTTGCAATTAGTATGTACACTTTCTCTTCTTCTTTTTTTTTGGTTAAATCCTTTGGACTTTGAATATTATCTGTTTTCTGTAGCTTGATTTCGATAGTGCTGCTCCGCCGCCACACGCATGGAGGAGGTTGAACTCCCATGCTAATAAATTGAAAGAATTCACTATCACCTTTCGTGAAGCCATTAAAATGAGATGGAAAACGTGGCCAGATACATGCTCTTCAGGAACACCAACCATCTCAACGCACAAGCTTTGACACACAGTTAATCTTATTACTCAACAAGTTAACATACATGCAGACATTCTAATATCTAAATTAGGTTACTTGCAATCCTGTTCAAGAAAGTGTAAGCTTTTGAACCCTATGAAATGGAAGTTGATGCAACCCTACCCAGCAAAATGGTTAAAGCCTCTAAATTTAAACTAGATCAGAAATGGTAATATCTAAAGTAGCCCCTCTTCAAGAAAGTGTAAGCCTTTGAACACTGAATGAAACTGATGCAATACTATACTACTACACAGCCAAAGATTCTAATTTTTATGTCTTCCTTTTTCACAGAAAAAAGCTAACAGAAAGTCAGCAACAACATTTAGATTCCTTGCTCATTGGTGGTAGGAGGTGAAGATGGAAAAGGGTTGGTAGTTGCATCAGAGGCTGTTACTCCTCTAGCTTCACACAAAGCAGTGAGCTGCTGGCTCATCAACTTGACCATTCCTGTAAGATTAATCACTTCCTGCTCTAACTGAGCTTGGCGAGTAAGAACAACAGCAGGTGGAGTAATGTGATCATAGTTCTCCGTTAGTGTTGTTCCAAGTCCAAACATCCTGCCTTTGTGTGGCTTGACCACCTACAAAAGCAGAAAAACAAGAAACAAAAATCACTAGACACATACAATGAAACATAAAACTACCACAGCCATAAAAAAATACAAACTTATCAAACATTTACCAATAAGCATTAACAACCTAAGCAATGGAAACAAAAAATAATATACCTTGTAAAACGCCTCATCTCTCATATGTGGTGTGATTGATGCTTCTGAGTTGGAGCCTTGGCTATCAGTTTCATCAGTGTTGGGGTGTTGTGCAACAACGATAGACTCAACTTCTTCAACAATCCTTTGTGCACGCTTGTCTACAAATGTACCGTAACTTTTCATATGAGTCTTCCGCACCAGTTCAGTGATAGCTGGCTCCTCCCCCAACTCCATCTATTTTAATAAGGCAAATGAATTAAACCAACAAGACAAATATAGAAACACAAATAGACACAATAAGACAATAAGAAAGTATTATACCATTTCATATTTGACCTTGGCATAAGATTTGGAACCTGAGATGTGTTGATGTATACCATCTCCACCACGCTCTGATTTCCTGTTGTTGGAGTTTGTGGTACTGACATGGACTGCCTGAGGAGTGTTCCAGTATCGCCACATCAACTTCCAGTTGTTATCAGAGACAAAGGTGGGCTTTTTGTTGTGTGCCTTTCCCTTGCTAATGCTGTTTGAGATCGTTCTCCTGAGTTGCTTTGTCCAAAGAGTCTTCACCAAATTATGGTGCTCTGAATCCCAGTAATACTTTTGCTGGAAAAAAAAAAGAAAAGCAGAACTTGACGTCAATAGAGATCTAATCTAAACAATAGGTAGTTAAGGGAAACAACCAATATGAATCTTACCACAAAGTCTGACCACCACTTGTCTTGCTGGTCTTGAGGAACCTCACTGAGATTCCACCAAGCTCCATCAAAATCGTTGGAAAAGGCTCTCTTTATATCATACTTGACCTCATTGTCAATTGATATCCTATCACAAAGAAACAGAACAATTAGTAACTGAAACAATTAATACAAATTTATAAATTGCTGTCAGAAGTAAATCTTACCAAAGAGCACCATCTTTCTTCTCAGGGTGGAGAGTTGGCTGGTTTCTTCGTGCAGGTGCTTGTAATAGCTCATCAAGGCTTCGCAGTGGAAATCCCTGTGGAGCACATGGGTTTGTGTTCTTCACGGAACTGGGTCCACCTCGTCCGGCAGTAGCTCTTGCGGGGAAACCTCCTCTTCTTGGTGGATGCATACTACAAGGATTTGAAAGACATTAGCACAATATCTGAGATAGAACTATCATTCAAACTTTGTCCATAATAAAAAAAAAAAGAGCTTTCAATGGATGAATCCCTTAGTGTATTAGACTGAAAGAACATATGAAAATGCAGAGACTGAACCACCATATCGATTTCATATAAACCCTAAACTGACTGAAAACACAGAATGAAAGAAGAAGTGAACCCAAATCGATTTTAAAATTTGAACCCTAAATAGACTGAAGATGCAGAGACTGGTATAAGAAATTAACCCCAATTCTATTTGAAAATATAAACACCAAAACTGATTGAAAAAATAAACACCAATGTGTAAGATTTTAGAAGAAGAACCTTGATATACTGAGAGTGGCTTTGTTATTTTTCGACTACTGTTTCGACGGTGTTGTAGAATTTGGTTATGGAGGTGGTTCGGTTCAGGGAAGGATTCATGGTGTGTGATTTGGGGGTTGAATCCGTTGGTCTGTGTCCGTGGTGGATTGTGAGCGATCTGTTGAAGAAGGAGGACAGTGATTTCGTCTTTTCTGCGTGTTTATTTAAATCTGCCATTGAAGCCAACACAAAAGATCACGAAACGGTGGCGGATGTTGTTGCTAGACCTAGGACTAAGTCAACGGAATTCAAAAACCCTAGGATCAATAATTATTCAAATGGATCTCTAAAGGTAAAATTGAGAAAGGGAATAAGAGAAGGATCGCCTCACCGATGCGATGGAGAGAGATGATGCGAGAGAGCGGTCTTTGATTGATTTACTTCTCCTCTCTTCTTCTGTATTCATATGCAGAAATAACGCCGGATTTTGTCATCGGAGATCGGCGAATCGTTGGAGTTCTTCGGATTTATTCGTCGGAGATTGGCTAATCGTTGGAGTTCTTCTTGACGTGACACGAGAAGAAAAGAGATAGAAGAAGAATTGAATTATTTTTTGATTAAATAAGGGTATTAAAGTCTTTTTTTATCAAAATTTTAAGTGTAAAGTTGGTTAATGTAAAAGTGAAATATGGTATCATCAAAGTGCTAGTTTTAGCAATTTTCCTATAAATAACTCTATGTTGTGGTTTCAGGTTTGAAAAAATTATGGATTTTAAGCCAGACCTAAAGACAATTCCATCGATAAATATCTCAAAAACAGGTTTTAATATCAAAAATATTACTAATATAATCATATGTAAATTTGTAACTAGAATATCTTTTAAGTGAAACAAACCAATCAAAAGTCGATAAGTGACAACAAATAATTAGAAATGGTGCTCAAAAGTTCTTCTCTAAAGAAACGAATGTAATTTTTTCATTATTTTAATATTTTTTGTTTGTAAAACCCAAATCAGAAATGTGGGCATTAACTCAATATGTCCATGTCATTTTTTTTAAAAAAAAATCTAGTTTTTCCCACCAATTAAACATGATTTTTTTTTTATTTTTTTAAATACGAAATTGAATTAAAGACCTATGTACCCTTAGAAATAGACTTATTACTATAACCCAATCTAACTATCCGACTCAGACCCAAATCCAACCGGCAAAATCTGGATTTTTGACCTAAAATCTAAACAACACCGTATTACGTTATGTCTCCCATTTTTCTAAGTCCTAAGAATACCTCCAATTGAGATTTGAAGGAGGGGTTCTTTAAAAAAAAAAAAAACTCAAAAAGAAAAAAAAATTAAGAATCAAATTCTTAAAATAGAGTTTTTAGAGTTGGTAAGAACCTCTAAAGTGCATTTTTATTGGCTCATTTTGTGTGTGTGTCTCTCTCTCTCTCTCTCTCTCCTTTGTCTTTTTTCCTCTTTGTTGTCTCTTTCTCTCTTAAAAACTTCAAAAAAGTTATACCATTAGACATGACAAATTATTAGGGATTATAAACTTCACAAGTTACAAAATTTATAATTAAATTAATCATTAGAACCCTGGGTTCTCACCATTGGAGTTGGTCTAATTTTTGACTCTATCTCTCTCTCGACGATAGAAACAACAACAGTGAGACCCAAATTTCTTCTTCCGTTTCCATCAACATCGAGCCTCTAATCAAGCATTCGTCGATATTCTTCATCTTTCTCCTAACTTTCTTACATCTCCGTAAGTTCTTTTCTCTTGATTTTGTCGGTAAAGTTCGGATTATGTAACTAAGTCAAACAAAAATTGGGGAAAAACTATACACTACAAGAAAACTAAGCTTTTAATTACTAGGAAACTTTCCTAGGAAAATAGTTCCTCGTAAAAATACTACAAGTTAACTTCGAGTTTACGAGGAAACCATTTTTCCTCGTAAAGTTCTCGTAAACTTATGAGAAAAATGTTTCCTCGTAAACTCGTAGTAGACTTATGTGACCCTTACGAGGAAAAAGTCATTTTCCTCATAAACTCATAGTAACTCCTTTCCTCGTAAAGTCCTAGTTATAATTTACAACGAAATTAGGAGGAATGGATTTGTTACTACGAAATTAAGAGGAACTGGATAGAAAATATCGAATGTAAATCAAAAACGTGTTTTGTACTTACTTTTCCTAGCAATTTCCTAGTAAATTCTCAGATTTGAAAATTTCTATAAATACCACCATTTGTGATTCATTTGAAACACACCAAAAAAATCAGCTATAAGCTTGATCAAACACAAAAAAATGTCCGGTCCGGGAAATGTTTTCGAGTTGCGGAAGTGGATGTATTCACACAATAACGGGAGGTTGACGAAAGAATTTCTCGAAGGGTTGGAGACGTTTATACATCAAGCAGATTCTAAACCACTCACGCAAGAAAGTGGTAAGATGTTCTGTCCTTGTCGGAAATGTTGCAATACCAAATTAGGCCCTCGTGAAAATGTTTGGAAGCATTTAATAAATAGAGGTTTCATGCCATATTATTATATTTGGTATCAACATGGAGAAGACGCTAGTTGTAGGAATGAAGGTAGCAGTAGTAATAGCAATTTTCGGATTGAACCGGTTGAGCATTTGCGTAATGAATGTAGCAGTAGTAATAGCTATCATCACCAAGAGGAACAAATGGTAGATTGTGATAGGGTTCATGATATGGTAGGTGATGCCTTTGTAACTCATGATGATGATGAAGTTGAAGAACCTAACTTAGATGCAAAAAAGTTTTATGAAATGTTAGATGCTGCGAATGAGCCAATTTACAGTGGTTGTAGAGAAGGTCTGTCTAAATTTTCGTTGGCTGCTAGAATGATGAGTATTAAAACCGATCACAATCTACCTGAAAATTGTATGGATGCATGGGCAGACTTGTTTAAAGAGTATTTCCCAGAAGAAAATGTGTCTGTTAAATCTTATTATCAGATTCAGAAATTGGTATATAGTCTTGGGTTGCCCTCGGAGATGATAGACGTTTGCATCGACAACTGCATGATTTACTGGGGAGATGATGAGAAGTTAGAAGAATGTCGATTTTGTAAGAAGCCACGATTCAAACCGCAAGGTCGAGGGCGTAATAGGGTACCGTACCAAAGGATGTGGTACCTACCAATCACAGATAGATTGAAAAGATTGTACCAATCTGAGGAGACTGCTGGAGGGATGAGATGGCACGCCGAGCATACTCAGACGGATGGAGATATGACTCATCCATCAGATGCAAGATCCTGGAAACATTTTAACAATGTACATCCACATTTCGCTAGCAATAGCCGGAATGTGTATCTTGGATTATGCACTGATGGATTTAGTCCATTTGGAATGTCAGGGAGACAATATTCATTGTGGCCGGTCTTTCTTACACCGTATAACTTGCCACCGGAGATGTGCATGCGACGAGAGTTTCTATTCATGAGCATATTAATACCTGGTCCAAAACATCCAAAAAGATCTCTCGACGTTTTTCTACAACCACTGATAAAAGAGTTGAAAGATTCATGGTCAACAGGGGTGAGGACATATGATTGTTCAACGAAAACAAACTTTACGATGCGAGCGATGATTTTGTGGACCATAAGTGACTTTCCTGCATATGGTATGTTGTCTGGGTGGACTACACATGGGAGATTAGCTTGTCCATATTGTAATGGAATGACAGATGCGTTTCAGTTAAAGCATGGTAGGAAGACTAGTTGGTTCGCTTGTCACCGTCGATTTCTTCCCATTCACCACCCACACCGAAGAAACAAGAAATTGTTCAGGTACAAAAGGGTTGTCAGAGACACTCCTCCTCCATATTTATAGGAGAACAAATCGAAGCGCAAATCGATTACTACTGTGCTCTAGAAACAACTTCTCGTGGTGGGAATTGGCATGTTCCCAGTAATATGCCTGATTCTTATGGTGTTCAGCACAATTGGCACAAAAAGAGTATATTTTGGGAATTGCCATATTGGAAATATCTTCTTTTGCGCCACAACCTCGATGTGATGCATATAGAGAAGAACTTTTTTGAGAACATCATGAACACTATATTGAATGTCCCAGGGAAGACGAAAGACAACGTAAAATCAAGGTTGGACTTACCCGATATTTGCTCAAGGAGTGAGCTACATATAAAAAGCAATGGGCAAGTTCCAGTTCCAATATTCAGACTGTCATCAGAAAAAAAAGTCTGCGTTGTTGATATCACTCAAATTACCCTAAGGAGTGAATTACTCTCATCAAAAGAGGTTCAATTGTAGTACTTAGGGATCGAATCCACAGAGACTCTATAATTACACAAAAAATTAGTAAGTCTTCGAAATAAAGTTAGTCGATAAGATTTTAAACAGTAATTTAAAAGGTAGCAAATATTTTCTTGATTGATTGGTTGATTTGTTAAGAAGGAAGAATGTAGTTAAACATAGGTATTTCTCAGGTATGACATACATGCAAGTTGTAAAGGGTTTTTATTATTCATAGTTCTAGATTCAAACTTTTAAGGAGGTTTAAGGATTAACTCCACTAAACCTCGGGTTAGGACTATCGTCCGATAACCTGAAGGGAATATCGATCGATGTTTCTGTCGATACTATCGATCGATGCTAATACTGCTATATCGGTCG